GTGCAAGACCTCGCCGAGTCGACCCTGACCAAGCAGCTCGGGTGACCGAGAAGACTTTACAAGTTTATCGCAGCGCGGGGCTCAGGTTCTCGACTTGGGCCCTGCAGCGCGGTCTCCGTCCCAGCGGTGCTGACGAATGGGACGATCTCTTAGTTGAGTTCAACAATGGTCAGATTGAGCACCTCACTCCAGCTAAGTTCGTGAATGCAGTTGCGTCAGTGGAGTTCTTCTCTCGGATGCGAGGAAAACTTCTATGGGGCAAGGCAGTGATTGCTGGATGGGAAAGAAAAATAAGACGCAAGCGCAAGGTACCTCTCGGGAAGTTGCCTGGCAAGCTCCTCGGGGTCCACATGGCTTCCAGGGGGGACCCCCGTCTGGGCTTTGCTCTCATCGTCCAGTGCCATACGGGTCTGCGTCCCTCGGAGCTCTTGGGCATACTACCTGAGGATCTCATCTTCCCTCGCGATCTGGGCGAGAACATCAACCTCGCCGCGGTATCAATTGCTCTCGGGGCTCGGACGGGGACGAAGCTCAAGGCCCCAGGTGGCTCGTATCTTTCAGGAGGGCCAGGACATCCTGGAGGTGCTAGAGGACATCACGAAGGCCACCCCGGCTGGCGCCCCGCTCTCCCCCTACAGCTTGGCTCAGTACCGCAAGGTTCTCAAAGATACCGAGGGCTCGCTTGGATTATCCATGGGGTGGGGGCCTCGCAGCCCCAGAGCAGGATGGGCCAGTCATTCGAGGGCCGAAGGGCTCTCGTTTGAAGAAGTTCGAGAACGAGGGAAGTGGATTTCGGATGGGAGTCTGCGCATTTATCTCGACATCGTTGGCGCGAGCCACATCCTCACCCAGCTAAACACGAAGGGCTTCGCGCAACAGCTGTACTGACTCAAAAGGGGCTGGCGCCAGTACTTTCCAGCGTTCATCTGGGGAGCGCATCAAGTACCAGGGCGTGGCTCCCGAGGGCTACGTGAAGGACAAGACATCTGGGGGCTGGGTCAAGGGCCCCGAGTTGGCATGGATGGAGAACGTACCACCCCTGCCGAGCACACCTGGGACACCCACCAGCTGGGTACAGTGTACAAGTGCTCCTCCGTCGGGGGCGGCGTCCAGGGCGGCTTCCCCAGGGGCGGTCTCGCTGGTGCTCACACCGCCCAAGGCCAAGAGCTCTGGGATGCTGCCGCCGCCCACGGTGGTGTCCGCGCCCCCTCCAGAAGCAGCAGGACATGCGATACCGGGAGGACTGCAGTTCTACGCCCAGACCCAGCCCAGAATATATCCAGTCAGAGTGCCCAAGGTGAGCTTCGTCAAGATGCCTGTCAATTGCAGTAAGGTGGCCAGGTCAGTGTGTAGGCCGTGTTTCGTTCCTGCCATCCTCCTCCTGGTGCTCTTCGTCATCTTCCCTCCGAGCATCTTCCCTAACATGTCCAGGAGCGCCGAGGCTGCGGCGTCCTTGGTGGAGGATGTGGCAGGAGCAGGGGGAGCTGTGGCGCTCGCGGCCAGGAGCCTCACCATGGCCGTGAGTGGAGTCGCGCTTGCAGTTGCGAGGAATTCAGCTACGTTCGTTGACGAAGCATGGTCGGGCATAGATATACTGGGGTGCCGCCTGAACGTGACAGGCGGGCGTTTTGTCGTGGACATCGGGGCGCGCTCTCGCCCTAGTATGATGAAGGAGCTCGAACGCGGCTTGACGGTTGTCCCAGATGACTTGGCAATTGAATTGTGGGGATCAATCAATGCTGTGTCTGTACGGGCGCCTGTGGCGGCGCGGCTCTCCTCACAGTTCAATTTCACGGAGAGCTCCTTCATCTGGGACTGGGAGGTGCTCTTAGTCGAGGAGAAAGTTCTGGCTGTTCGCTATTATTTCGCTCGTCTGGGGTTTGACCTTCAGTGGGCCAATCCTCTATGGGCCTTGACTGGTGCCGATCTGGGAGGTGAACTGGACCGCATCACGTCCAGACTCAAAGATGCTATCGAGGCGGCAGTCGATGCCTCCGTGCTCAGGTCAACGCTCACCGCACGCGAAGGACTCCAACTGCCCACCATTCGCCCCCTTTTGGTTTCATCTCGGCAGGTGGGCCCATTCTCAATTGGATTGGCTGTGGTACGCTACCGGGGTTTGGCTCTGACGACATTACAAACCATATAGTATCATAGATCGGACACCGGAGTTTGGCATCATCTCAGAGCCCATTCTCGGAGTACGGCTGGGAGTTCATACGTCCTTTGTCAAAGTGGATGAAGTCTATCATGAGTTGAAGCCCTCGGCCGAGGGAGATGTCAGATGGCAGTTTGCAGCACGTCAGAACTGACACGTGACATGAGATATGGTTGTGGTCATCTCGTGGTCTGTTGAAACAGGGGAGATGGTTATCGTGATAGTCGTGAATGACGCTTGCTGTTTCTGCTATTCCGTACAGGTTTCGCCTGATGCACGCTCCTGTTTGTACAGGCTTCGCCTGCACGTCCCTAGTCTGTCCTCCCCCTTCCCCTGGCCGCCGTGGGGGCGGTGTGGGGGTCGGGTGGGTGGGTTTCTTGAGGTTTCCTGAGCTCAACTCGTTTGTACATTATGATGACATGAAAGTCTTCTAACGGGTATTAATGTATAGTGTTGGTCCAACAATGCTCTCCAACAGCAAGCGTTATGGCTTTGGTCATCTCGTGGTCTGTTGAAACAGGGGGATGGTTATCGTGATAGTCGTGAATGACGCTTGCTGTTTCTGCTATTCCGTACAGGTTTCGCCTGATGCACGCTCCTGTTTGTACAGGCTTCGCCTGCACGTCCCTAGTCTGCCCTCCCCTTTCCCCTGGCCGCCGTGGGGGCGGTGTGGGGGTCGGGTGGGTGGGTTTCTTGAGGCTTCCTGAGCTCAACTCGTTTGTACATTATGATGAAATGAAAGTTTCTTGCGGGTATTAATGTATAGTGTTGGTCCAGCAATGCTCTCCAACAGCAAGCGTTATGGCTTTGGTCATCTCGTGGTCTGTTGAAACAGGGGAGATGGTTATCGTGATAGTCGTGAATGACGCTTGCTGTTTCTGCTATTCCGTACAAGTTTCGCCTGATGCACGCTCCTGTTTGCACAGGCTTCGCCTGCACGTCCCTAGTCTGTCCTCCCCCTTCCCCTGGCCGCCGTGGGGGCGGTGTGGGGGTCGGGTGGGTGGGTTTCTTGAGGTTTCCTGATCTCAACTCGTTTGTACATTATGATGACATGAACGTTTTCTAACGGGTATTAATGTATAGTGTTGGTCCAACAATGCTCTCCAACAGCAAGCGTTATGGCTTTGGTCATCTCGTGGTCTGTTGAAACAGGGGGATGGTTATCGTGATAGTCGTGAATGACGCTTGCTGTTTCTGCTATTCCGTACAGGTTTCGCCTGATGAACGCTCCTGTTTGTACAGGCTTCGCCTGCACGTCCCTAGTCTGCCCTCCCCCTTCCCCTGGCCGCCGTGGGGGCGGTGTGGGGGTCGGGTGGGTGGGTTTCTTGAGGCCTCCTGAGCTCAACTCGTTTGTACATTATGATGAAATGAAAGTCTTCTAGCGGGTATTAATGTATAGCGTTGGTCCAACAATGCTCTCCAACAGCAAGCGTTATGGCTTTGGTCATCTCGTGGTCTGTTGAAAAAGGGAAGATGGTTATCGTGATAATCGTGAATGACGCTTGCTGTTTCTGCTATTCCGTACAGGTTTCGCCTGATGCACGCTCCTGTTTGTACAGGCTTCGCCTGCACGTCCCTAGTCTGCCCTCCCCCTTCCCCTGGCCGCCGTGGGGGCGGTGTGGAGGTCGGGTGGGTGGGTTTCTTGAGGTTTCCTGAGCTCAACTCGTTTTGTACATTATACATATGTATATACATATATCGTATATTGCGTGTATACATATAACGCGTGTTTCGGATCGGCGATGGGCCCCCGTCCCTCCCTGGCGCGCGGAACGCGTCAGGCGGCGGCGCCGGACGCGGGGCCAGAGGGGGCCCGGCGCGGATCCAAGAAATCCGCGCAGAACTCGGAACACTTGCTTATGTCAATGCCGTTTGTGCCTCTGGGGAACCGAACGGCAACGATACGCTACTCTCCAGAGCTGTCCGAGGTGCGTTCTGACCACGAGTTCGAGGCGAATCCAGCCATGGCCATGGCGATGAGGGCCTCCCAAAAAGCCTATAAGCCATAGGGGCGAAAACGAGGCAAAGGTAGCGGTATCCCTGACGGACGGCGTCGCGGAAAAAATGAGACATCGCGGAAAATCACGACCAGAGCTCCAGACCCTCTGTGTCTGCGCCGTTTTTCGAGCCGAATCGATATGTGAGGGTCCTGGGGCCCTAGAAAGGGCAAATATTGAGACGCCTGGATTCCATGGTTTGTTTTCTTCTTTTTTTGCGCGGACAACGGCAGCGCCCTGGCACAGCGCGGCTTCGGCGCGGTCCCGTGCGCTCGCCACTGCAGGGCAGGACTCGTTCCACCTCCTGCAGCACACCGGCACTTCGTCGGTCGTTACAGGCGGCATGATCCTGGCGTGTCCTGGCTGCCGCGCCTCAATCACTGCGGCTCCCGTACCCTGGACCCGTGGCACCCTGGACGACCACGGCCTGGGCCACCCGCTCCTGCTACCTGTTCGATGGCACAACGTTGCACTTCGGCTCAGCGATGCTCTCCACCTTCCCTGGTCGACGCCGCTTGGGTGCAAGGCGCGTCTCCTCTCGCCGCCAACTCGAAGCTGGTGTACATGATGAGCCGTGGACGGCAACACCAACCACAGCATTTTGCTTCTGCTGGTACTTCGCCGCCGGGTTCCTGTACAAGGCGTTCCTTTGCAAGCACGTCGTTTTCGGCACCGCCTGATCCCGAGGTTTTGCCTCCTCCTGGCCTCGCCGTGAGGCTGCGCTCCTTCCCTTCCCCCCCTCTTTGTTATTTCAAGCTTCGCGCGGCCCGCTTAGCTTCGACCGGAAGAGGTGCGCTCTCGACCCGCGAATCAAAAATGTGTTGTTTTCTTTCTTCGATCCTTGCGGATCTGCTCGGCTGCGGCGAAGTCCAGGCGGGAGACCCAGTCGGCGAACGCCCTATCGATGACGCTGTGGTCCAGCTCGGCCTTGGAGGTGCTGTTGAGCAGCCTAGTCAGCGTCTTCGTCAGCGTGCGCCGCCGCTTGAACACGGACGCAGCGAGGTGGACCTCCTCCTTTGACGATGAAGGTATTGATACTACTGCCATTGCCTCGTTTTTCTTTTTTCGGCCTGCTGGGAGGCTCTCGTCGCCACGGCTGGATTCGCCACGAAATTCTGGTCAGCACGCACCCTGGAAGAGGTCCGGGGAGTAGCAATATTGGTAGGATCGATGACGTATAAATCTAAACTCTCGGAACTCTATGCGGATGTCTCGGTTCGGCGCTGCGCCCCCCATGGCGGCACCTCTGGCGCCACCCCTTGCGCGCTCCGCGCGGCAGGAAGGGGGGTCCAAAGCCAATCCAATAAACTCCGCGCTGACCTCCGAGAGGTTATGTTTATGCAGTCGCATGGTATTCGATTCCTCCATGGGCAGCATGGCGCTCAGGGGCACCACCTTTAGGAAACAACTTCTAATAGGTCTTTGTAAGAACGAATGGACCACTCAGCCGGATTTGCCCAATCATATTCAGCGGGAGTAAGCTGGGCTAGCCGGGATTCTACTGGAATGGGCCAGTGATCGATCACGGATAGAAGCCAGGAGTTGCATCCTAACCACCTCAAGTGTCGCAGAGGCAGACGCGAGCGCGCGGCTGAGCTGGTTCTTCGAGTTCATCACAGGCACCTCGAATGTTTCGTTCCACTCGGGCAAGGTGGACTTCGCCTTGACGGAGGTGACCTGCCGGAAGCAATTCTTGCCGTTGTTGGAAATCGCGACCACCTCCACGAAGGCGTCGTTAGTGCTCCTCATCATCATCTTGTCGTACGCGGGAAGATCCGTGGCCTTCAACACCGTGACCTGCCAGGCGCCCTTAAGCCGCGATCCCTTGGGGTACGGGCACCACTCGATGGAGATCTCCAGCTGGCCCCTGGTAGGCTCCCCATCGGCATCGGTGATAGACAACTGCTGGCGTGCTGTGTTCTCGACGGGGACCTTCACCCTGCCGATGAAGTCGTTGGCCGTGAGGGAGTCGAAGTCATAGACTGTGAACATAAAATACTTCCAGTCGTCGGCGGTGCAGAACCGGTGCTTGTAGGCGCGCGCCGCCTCCCACGCGAGGCGGTCCACCCCGCCCACGTAGTAACACCAGAACTCCGAGCGATCCTTCTGCTCACTGTCCGACATCTGCATGTGCTTCTCGACCGTGTTCAGCTCTGATCTGCCCCAATCGAATATCGCCGTGACGGCGTGCCTCTTGAGGTCCGCCGTCCCCGTGGACCTGGGCGGTAGCTCACCACAGTCGAACCCGAGCGCCACAGAACTGCCGATCCACTTCTGCGGGACTGGCGAACACCTGCAAGCCACGGCCAAGGAGGTCAGCCGGCACACGGCCTCGTAGAGGGAGATCTCCGTAACCTCGGAAGGCCCCAGCACGTCGCTGAGGGCATCCTCTCCTGGGTTGCGCAGCTCCTGGTGGACATCTAGATAGTGCATCATCATCTCGGCGCCCGACATGCGCTGCAACATGATGCGTTGCGCCTTCTTCTGGATCTTCTTGCTGTCAGAGCCCCCGACGTCGAGCAGTGGATCCATGGAGTCCAGCACCGGCGGGCGATTGTCGAAACCCTCGAGCCTAAAGCCCTCGCAGGCCGAGTTGGTGACGCCATCGACGATGCTCTGCCGAAGCGCCGCCGTGCGCGACTTGCCCTGCCATCCAGCCTGCCCGGTCTTCTGGCCCATCTTGATATCGAGGAGACGGGGCTTCTTGTGCCCGTCCTTCAGGTTCCGCATCACCTCGGCCACCGCCCCTCGAGTGCAAGGCGGGAATCGTTCCTCCCGCTGGCTCGTCGGATATGAGCCCCCGGGAACCAAGCATCCACGAAACCAAATTGTTGTTGGCTGTTTTTTGGCTGAGGACTGAGCTGGCCTCCTGGCTAGATTGGCTGCGCTGGTCCTTGAATTCGCGGCCCTGGCCGAATCGAAGATCAGGTCAACAACGAGAATAAAACTGAATCCACGCTCATCCACAAACCTCAATTGGTTCACAATGCTGCCCCTCTGTGACAGAAGGGACAATTAAGCGGAGAGGCGGGGGCCCTCTGTGACAGAATAGGGTCCTCGTCCTGTTCCTCCTCACCCTCCTTTTCCCGCGCTTCCTCCTTCTCCTACGGTTCCTCCTTTTCCTACTTTTCCTACGTTTCATCATGTCCTCTCCTTCTCCTACTTTTCGTACATATCAGATTTGTCATTCCTCCTTCTCCTACGTGTCCTCCTTCTCCTGCGCTTCCTCCTTCTCCTACTTCTCTACGTTCCTTCCATCATCCTCGCCACCCTCCTTCTCCTACGTTGTTTCCTTCTCTCCCGCCTGTTTACCCCCTTCTGGTTCGTGCCCCTCTCTTCGTCCACTTCGTTACCCCTCTTCCAGCTCCCCGTTTCCCCCCAAGCGCACTGCCATCCAATCACATCGCGTCGTCCGTCGCCGCTATGTTCGGACCATCTCGCGCCCGCGGGATCGCCCGCGAGCAGCGGTGCGTTCGGGCCGTTCGCGGCCTGACGCGCGCCAGCGCGATCGTTATGCAATGGGTGGTCCGGCGGAACCAAGTGGGGTGACCAATTGTGTTTCGCAAGGTCGCGCGGACCGTTGCCAACAAACCGTTTCCAATTGCACGGGGAATGTGTCGCCTGGAAGGCCGCGACCCAAATTCGCCGCGCATCGGCTACGGCGCGTCGCCGACGACCAAAAAAACGAAGCCCGACACTGCCGCCTCTCTTGCGTCCGCGAGGTGCTCCTCTGCTGGACGACGCCAACACCGTTCGACGTGGACATCGTGGAGGTGGATGGGCGCTGGCACGGCGGCGCCTACGACCCTCTGATGTTCCAAATGCGCATGATCAGCGCGCGCTCGGCCGACACACACGATGCACAAAAAGACACAAAAACAGGCGCGCCCAGAAAGCGCAAGCAGCTGCGCTCGCGGCGTTTGGACAGCACGGGCCCGAGCACCTTGCACCAGACCAGCACCGCGAGGGGGACGAGCAAGGCGCCCGCGCCCAACAAGCGTCGTGGCCACCAAACTGGGCAGCCGCAGTCGTGGACGGCGAGGGCAACTGGCCCGCGGCAGGCGATAAAAGGTCGTGGCGTGGGGGCGGGGGGAGGGAGGGGGAGGTAAGGGGGAGGGTAAGAGGGAAGAGTGAGGATGACGAGCAGGACGAGGGATGATAACAAGGAGGGGGATGATAAATGCATATGATAATATTGCCCCCAAGGTGGTGGCAGGCGACGCAATAGCCAGGCCTTCGCCGCTGGAACAGACGCAGGTGTTGCCGCCGCAACGGCCCTTAGAGCCCCCGCAGCCGCGCGGGCCAAGGTTGCCAGAACAGCAGCCGCAGGAAACGCTACCAGAGCACCCACGAGAGCCCACGCAGCAAAAAAAAACACAGGGGCACGGGGGCCTGGCGCGGCCAATGGTGGGGAGGGTGGGGAAGCTGCTGGGCCAAGGAGAGCGGACGGCCACGGCCGAGCGGCGCCGCTGCTTCGAATTCGAATGACAGGGTCGAATCCGCCTGGCGCGACTTGACAACGGCGTTCCGCGACCAGGAAATGCGCGAAGATCAGTGGACAGGTCAGTGGACGAGCGGCCAGGGGCGCTGGGAACCCAAGCAAACTTGGGAGCAGAGGACCACGTGGGAGTGGGTCGAGCGCAATCCGTGGGAAGAACTTCACTGAGCCGTAGCACAGGGGCCGCCGGTCCGCAGCAGCGGAGGGAGGCCTCATCGGCCGAACGCCAGCGCATCGTGATCGGCGGCGGTTCGCGCGCGCCTGCGCGCTCGGAGATCGCTGCCCGAGCGGGACGGGGAAAAAACAATAAAAAACAATGTTGTCATCGGTGCTGTCGTCGACCTTCTCTCCTGTTTCGTTTTCTTTTCTGTCCCCCTAATCCCCTTCCCGCCATCGCATTTGTCTTCCCTTCCCCACTCGTAGCGGGAACTCCCGCGGCAGAAGAACTGAAGAGGAGGGCCCCCTCTGTGACAAAGGGGACCCATTTTCGACACCCTGTGTGACAAAACGGGGGGCCAAACAACAAATTGTCACCGAATTGAGGCTCGTGGATAACCTCCGCGATGACTGCCATTGGGCTTGGCCCCCTAGCCCGCAAAATCACAGAGGAAATCCCTGTACCCTCCCGAAGTGGCCCGGGGCTGCTTCGGAGACGGCCCTAGAAGCGCTCCAAAACGACCCTGCGCGCCGAGCGGACCTGGCATGCGGCGCAAGCCTGCCGAGTCATGTTGGGACGACTTGTGCGCTGGTTTCTGACGCCGCGTGGATCGTTCAAACCTTAACCATGGGCGACCATAGCGCAGATCGCTCAACGTGAGACGAGAAGACACTGGTGGCATTCAACCTTGAACGCCCGCGGCGTGGCGGTCGCGGGTTCGAAGCGACACAAACAGACCGTCATTCAACGCCCCGCAGCGCGAACATGCGAAGTGCGGCCGCCCTCTCGCAAACTCGCGCCGCGCCCCTGAAGAAAAGCGACCCTCGCGGGCGCGCGAGGACATGAACGGGAGCGCCGAGCGCGGCCCTCGATTCGAGCGGGGGACCAGACCGCGCGGGAGCGACGAGCGCGGCCCTCGTTTTGCGCCCCCGCGGCGGGCGGACCCGTCCCCATTCCCCACCCCCCCTTGCTTGCAGAACGAGCGCCGAGCTCCCCATTGGTCATCTGATTTTGCGCCCTCGGGCCCCGCGTTGCTCCCAAAACGCGTTGATATTCGCGCCTTCGCGCCGCTGCTCTGGAGAGGGGCGCCCTTAGAGCTCAGGCCGCGACGCGTGAAGCGCGAGTATATTTTCGCACCCTTTGGGGTGACCTGGCTCCCCAGCCCCCCAAAAACACCCCAGGAAACCTGCGGAACGCCTAAGGGCGCCCCAGCGTCGCGAGGCGGGGATCTATGCTCTCGATACCGTCCCAGTAGAAGGTTTGATGTGTGTTTTGCTGACGCCTGGCGAAGAAACCCGAGGCCCCCGAAATCGGCGGCCCCTCGTGGTCCCTCATCGTGTCCCCCAAATATAAACACATACACATACATTTGCACACATACATACACCACATATATACATACATACATGCATGCATGCATGCATGCATACATACATACATACAAATACAAGAACAAATACACAAACAAATGGAAATACAACTGCCTATACACATACATATAGTATGCACATACATATACACATACACACCTAGCTATACTAGAACCATCGCGCGCGCTTCGCGCGCGCTCAGGTTCTAGCAAGCCCCATGCCTTGACGAATTCGCTGCTCCGCTGAAATAGTGGACCACAGTAACCGCATTCCAGACTGCATTCCGAAAAGGCCTTCGAGGAAAATGGTTGTGTCGAGGGGCGGAGACCGTATGAATCGGGTTCCCAGAAAGCCTTCCGGGAGCATAGGTTTTGGGGCGTCTTGGGGAGCCTGTTGGTGCGTGCAGTCGTCGTCGTCGTCATCGTCGTCGTCGTCGTCGTCGTCGCCGTCGTCGTAATGTCGTTGTCGTCGTCGTCGTCGTCGTCTTCGTCGTTTCGTCGTCGTCGTCGATTCAAAAAGGGATTTGGGGCAACTTTGTACGGCAAATCTATGGAGGGCCGCGAGAAGGCGATCAGTCATGCTCCCAATCAACTTCCCGGACAGTTCTCCTGTAACATGATGGTGTTTCGAAGCCTCCGGAAACTCGCGGGCCCATGATGCACCATGTCCCCGGAAGGCCTTCTGGGGACATGGTTTGTTGGGGTGTGCTGGGGGGTCTCTTGGGCGTTCCCTTGAGGCCCCTTGGGGGCCTCTGGGAACTCTCGGGCCCATGATGAACCGCGTCCCTGGAAGGTTTTCTGGGGACATGATTTCTTGGGGTGTGTTGGGGGGCCTCTTGGGCGTTCCCTGGGAGCCCCTTGGGGGTCTCTTGGGGCTTCCCGGGGGCCTCTTGGGCGCCTCAAAAGGCTTCGCGGGGGCCTCTTGGTGGCTTCCAGGGGCCTACAGACGGCCTCTAGGGCCAGAGACCTCGAAATATCGGTTGGCGGTCCCCCTCTGGGCCCTCTCTTGGGGAGCTCTTGGGGCACAGCTGGGTTGTCTGGGGGGCCTCCTGGGCCGTGTTTTTTTGTTTTTGTTTTATGTATGTTTCATGTTTGTCTTGTTCCTTTTCTTTTTGATTGCCAGCTTGACCGCCCCCAATTGTTTGTTTTTGCACGGGTGTGCTCGCGCCCGCCCTTACGCCATCTCGCTGTGAGACGGCATTCGAAAAGGACAGGCCACTAGTCCAGCGGCCTCGCGAGCGGTCCTGGCGGTCCCCGCCAGGGGTGGCAGGCGCCCCTCCAGGAGCAGCAACTGCTCTCTGCACGCGGGAGGAGGAAGAGGAAGGAGAGAAGAACACAGCCGCCCGTTTACTCCAGGCAGAGGCCACAGCACGGTGGCGACGACTCGTAACTCTGAGGCGAGCTTCAAAGCGTTGCTGGTGAGTGCCTGGAATGCCCAGACGACGACAGTTAGTTATGAAGAGCAACAGACGCATCAACACAAGCGGCATACAGCATATTGGAAGACATTGGCGATGGTGAAAGCATGAGGAAGGGGAGGGGCCAGGGCGAACCCTCAGGAAACCAAGACGAGGATATGAATAGAGGTCAAAACCAATATCTGAACAGAGTAGCCAACCGAGGACAGCATGCATAATTAGTGTTCAACGCTATCAAGATCACCCTCGCCAAGTGCTGGGCATCCCAGGGCACAACCTGCAGGGCTAGAT